GCAGGACTGCTTGTTAGCGTGATCAGCTCCTACTTCATATGCTCTTAATTCAACCCGTGTACCTGAGATCCCTGACTTCCAATGGAAGGAGTGACCTATTGGTTACACCTGCCTTGTCCACTGACTACTAAGAGTTTAGACAATGAGTCTGGAGTAGATGCTTAAGTTCTCGACAGCCAATGTAAGGGAAGTGAATCCCACTTCAGATCTGGTAGTCAAATCTTTATTCAAGAAAACTAGCAAATTAACATACCCTCAGTGGGAATTTCCTAATCTGGTTATTATAAGAAGTGATAGATTAGCCAAATAAGATAGACTCATATTTGACCATGAAAAAAGAAAAAAAAAAAAAACGAAAAACCAAACACTTTTGGGTTTATTACCAATATTTTTTTTTCAAGTAAGAGTATGTTAGGGTTGTTATAAGCTTCTGAATTCAGTTGTGAACTCATCATTCTTTTAAAAAAGACTATTTCTAACTAAGAATCAGACTAGTACTTCAGAACAGATGTTTTGTCAAACAAATCAAAATTGTATGGGAAATTAAAGGATTTAACCTGGCTAGTCCTTGCAGGTAGTGGGAGTGTCTAACATGATTATGCTGATAATTTTATCTCTTATTTTATTAATTGCCAAGATGACCTCTATCCTTGGGGGAAAAAAAAAAAAAAGAAAAAACCACCACTCTATATTCTACTCTCTTGTGCTCGGTTTCTAAGGTGCTGATTTCTCTAAGAAAGAATGTAAGAGTAACGAACTCCTGTTTACAAGTCCCAAAAGATTAAAAATCTCCCTTTTCATTTCAAAGCAAGAGATCAGGAAATTTAGAAACACTTCCTTCCTATTTTGTAGGCTATATACAAATATATTTAAATATTAAAACTATTTATGAGATTATTTGTCTGTGGCAGAAGTGAGTATTTATTGAAATAACACTGCCTCAGGTAACCACAGTCAGACACAGTTATGTGTGTGCTTAGTCTACAGCCTCACTTGTTGAGAATTTCCTTGCTACTGGCCAGAGAGCAAATCACCTGAACAATATTTATTCACAGTAGTTTTAAAGTTACAAATCAGTCACATCATAGTATGTATAAAAGCATACAAAGCTCAGTAGCAGCCATTAGAAGGACAAGACCAAAAAAAATATCCAGATTGAGCAGCAGTCTCTTTCCAAATCTAGCTAGTAGGCGATGGTTTGGGTCTTTCTCAGTTGCTCCTCATCCTTCACCACTGCAGATCTGATTAAGCTGTGTTCAGCAGAGGCTTAAACTCAGCAGTCAAGTCAACACAGCCCAGCAAATGAGGAGCAGTCACACTGCCAGTCTGCAGGTCTACTTCTGACAGCGGACCTGAAAAATCACCTGTAGGCAATGGTGCCTGAAATGTCTCCTTTGTAAAGCGAAAGCAAATTTCAACCCTTAAAGACTGCAGCTGTGCCACAGTGGGCAGCGATCCAATCAGTACATCTGCTTGGACTGAAAGATGGTGAAGAGCAGGCATGGTGAGTAGCTTTGCTCTCCAAAGATTGAGGGCAGACATCAAACGGTGTATTTCTCTAAGGAGGGTGGATTTGCTCTACCTGCTCTCCATGCTGGCTGAACACACGGCGTTCCCTAGTTCAAAAACAATGGTGCAGTATTATAATGGTGCTATTGTCAAAATTTTCAATTTGCAAGTCATCTACACCCAGCATCTGCACCTGGTAGTCCAGCGTCCAGTCCAATAGCCTTCAAAGAGACTCGTAGCTTCTGTGTTTATGTGCCTTGCCTTTGCCTGGGCTAGCTTTTTTTGTGTGGCGTCTACCCTCATCTGACAGTAATTGTTTGAATTAGTACCCTGTTGGTTATTTCCCTAATAATAATCTGGAGTGGAAGGTGAGTTGGGTTGTGTGGAAGAAATTAACAATATTCCTTTTTGCAAAACAAAGTTAGCTAAAAGGATCAGGTCTGCAAGGTGTTTTGTACAGCTAAGAAAAAGATCTATGCAAAGCCTGAACCACACAGAACAGCATGAATTTTAATCAAAGGCACTAGTTAAGCTGTCATTAACTTCAGTGGAATTGAAGAATTGAAGAAACTGGAATTTTGGCTTTATTGCTTGAGCTCAAATTAAATTCTAGTAATTCAGGTTTATATAAGGGCTGGAAGAAGAACTTTCACAGTCAAATCTCTCAAGCTGATTTTTTAAAAAAAACTTTCCATAGATTTATCTTTAAAAAATGTTCTTCAAATGTGAACATAAATGAATCCACTTTGCAGAGGGCCATCAATCATGGGAAACGCTTTTCTAATGTCGGATGATGCTTACTTGAGCAGGACACTGGTGTGACCCTACTGAACAAATTAATGGGCTTTTTTTTATACAAGGAAGCAAAGATGAAGGAAATGCTGCAAATTCAAGATATCTTGAATAACGAAGTTAAAAGGGGGTTGATCCATCTGTTACAAGAAACACACAACTTTATGCTACTTATGGTTCCTGTTTCAGTGCAAAGCAAAGTCTTCTCTCTGTACGAGATAGTGGTGCCCATGCACCATCATACACTCATTTGCACAGTTTCAGCACATTCAACTGTATTAGGTATCAACTAAAATAATCTTCTGTGTGGCAGGCTTGACTTTGCAACAGTTTTGTGTCTTGCTTACCTACCACACTACACCAAAAACTTTACGCAAACAGAGATTAATGGATTTTGGGTTTTGTTTTTTTCTCTCTAGAAATGGATCTACTAACTGCAATCATTTTCCTGGCTGCTTTGCTACACCAATCTGATGGACAGCTAGGAGCATTCCTCTATTCAAAAGAACTATAGAGTAGTTTGTATAGATATCTAACATAGCATAATCTGTTCTAGTGATCTCTAGAGCTTTACAATTCAGCATTAAAATTATGAACATGTTAACATAAGACAATAAAGATAACTCATTTTTCACAGACTTTTGTATTAAAATATTTCTTCTGCCTATCAAAATATTCTTCTCTTCACAAGAATAACTTAAAAATACTATTTCCAAAAAAAATATATGAACAGAAGCTATTCTATAATAGTTTATCTAAGTATCCAAAACCTAATCTTCACCTCTCCTTAGAGAGGATTAATCTTGTAAGATGTAGATATCTACTACGTAGGCACTTCACAGAATCACAGAATGGTTGGGGTTGGAACGGACCTGTGGAGATCATCTAGTCCAACTCCCCTGCAGGTTCACCTAGAGCAGGTTGTACAGGATTGCGTCCAGGAGGGTTTTGAATATCTCCAGAGAAGGAGACTCTACAACCTCTCTGGACAGCCTGTTCCAGTGCTCTGCCACCCTTAAAGCAAAGTTTTTCTTCATATTCAGATGGAACTTCCTGTGTTTCATTTGTGCCCATTGCCCCTGTCATTACACCCCACTGAAAAGAGTCTGCTCTATCTTCCTGACACCCACCCTTAAAGATATTTGTAAGCATTGATAAGATCACCTCTCAGTCTCCTCTTCTCCAGGCTAAACAGACCCAGCTCTCTGCCTTTTCTCATAAGAGAGGTGCTCCAGACCCCTAATTTTCTTCATAGCCCTCTGCTGGACTCTCTCAAGTAGTTCCTTGTCTTTTTTGAACTGGGGAGCCCAGAACTGGACACGGTACTCCAGATGTGGCCTCACCAGGACAGAGTAGAGGGGGATAACCTCCCTTGACCTGCTGGCCACACCCTTCCTAATGCCCCCCAGGATACCATTGGCCTTCTTGGCTGCAAGGACGCCTTGCTGGCTCATGCTTAACTTGTTGTCCACCAGGAGTCCCAGGTCCTTCTCCACAGACCTGCTGAATGGACATTTCCTCCTTTCCTCATTTTAAGTTTCAAAATGAAAAACAGGTCCTTGAGCAACACAATGAGATCTGTAATTCCCACAGCCAGGAACATGCTGAAGCTGGTAAACTCTGCAACTAGCCTGCTTTCCATTTCATTAGCAGAAGGCTGTAGCCTTCTAAACAACCCACTCTCAGTAAAGAGAGAGGGCGGGAAAGGTGCTCTGGGATTGAGATTAAGAAATCAGAATTTTATCCTTTTGTTTCTTCAGGTTTCATGCAAAGTTAACTCAGACACAAAGCCAAAAGAAAGCAACAGTATGTTAAAAAACTCCTATTATTCAGGACCGTCTGGAGATCCGGACTGTGTGCTACTGTGCAAAACAACCTGCTCCGCAACCTTTAAGAGCTGAAGAAACGTGGTGCCCACGCCGCCGTAGTGTAAACTGGCACAACTCCTCTGCTTTCCGCTGAGAACCACAGGAGCATTCAGTGCACAACCCCCAAGACATTCGCAGGTTTTTTTTCCTTCTCTTGGTCTGCACTAACCTGTCTGTGACCTGAATACTTCTTCCTTTGTGTCTTTCAGGTGTGGAGTGAGAAAGGTACCAAAAATGTTCAGAAATAGACAAATAAGCATGGGATGAAAATCAGTCCAGAAGATCAGAGTCATTAATGGTACATGACAAATATGGAGCCTAAGCTGATGGGTTAATGACAATTTGCAGATGACCCCTGTGCATATGAACTAGAAATAAGGATATCTTTTAATCTGTTATAGAATATCTTTTTTAGGATTATTAAGCACAAAAACATCATCTTTGTCAGATAAATACCCTGAAAGACAAATTGTTGGAACTTGAGAGAGAGGGATGTTATGTACTTGTACTTTTCTTGAAGTGTCCGCTTTTGGTTCCTGCTGGAGACTAGGCAGTGCAACAAATGACTGTTGGTATGACTAAGTACAGACATTTTTGTGTAACATTTTGTAGTCAAATAAGTATCTGTGACTGAAAGCTCACCAAAATCAGAGTAGCACTTCCTGCAGCTTTCATAGGATCAGGTGTACTGTCCTTTCCTTAAAATCGCAGGGCAAATAGGTTGACATCATAGAGATTTTCTTAGGATGTAGCTACATCCCCTCTGTCCTACCTCCTACCCTACAGCTTACTTCTCCCCTAAGTAATAAAATAGACTTACTTCTACTTCAGGTGTCACCTGCTGTGAGAATGTATTACTGTCATCCTTCCCAAGAACATGGGCTGAAGCAATTCAAGTCTGGTACAGTCAGTCCTCCAATTTCAAGTATGGATTTGGAGCAACCGTGGAAAATGTCAATATTAAGAGCTATACTCAGGTATGGAGAAATGAAACAAACTGCAAAGATATGTTAGAATTAGAGGAGTACACTTAAGGGACCTGGGAGATTTTTATCACCAGAATAAAAAATTATCACTATCATCAAACCATTATCTATCATTCATGCTCTAATCCAAAGATGAATGATAAAATAAAACTCTTTTTCATCTAATTCTGAGGCAATAGAACCAGTATTTTGGAAGAGCTGTCCAGAAGAGAAATATTATTCTGTAGGAAAAATAATTCTATACCTTTAAGGTAGAAATAAATATTTTCTATATAGGGATTGAAATACCTGGTTAAGAAATGTCAAAGCAAAATATCTATGATGAAAATATTTGAATTTAAACTTTAGTGTCCTGCCAGAAACTGTGTTCAAAAACATTTGGAAACTGGATGACATGGTTAACTCATTTTTCAATTTATTCTTTCTGACAGCTAAACTGTAAACTTAAAAGCTAAATAGACAAAATGACACAATATCTTCTGGTTCTGTTATTTTGTGAGCTTTTTGATGAGAGTTCAATAAAACCTGACTCTGAAATAATGTGTTTAATTTTTATTCTACAGCTAATGTAGTGCAACAGTTACCAGATTGGATGTGCAGTTGCCTACTGTCCTAGGAACCAGTTCAAGTACTTTTATGTTTGCCAATACTGTCCTCCATATGTACTGCCTTTTTACTCATTTGAGATGCGATAATTATGGATAAGTTTTCAAAAACTCCTGCGGTCCATTGGTCATGTGTAGGATAAAATTATTACAGTTTATTTTAACCATTTATAATTTTGAAAACACTGATGTGAATTGTGGGTTTACCACCAGGTTAAATAGCAATATTTATTTTATCTCACATTGAAACAGATATATTAGGAAATTTTAGCATACGAACAAAGAAAGATCTGCCTCTGCAGCATCAGGCATCATGCACAAGTCATCCTATAACTTTGACCACAAACAAGAAAGTCAGATGCAAAGTGAAAGCCAATAGTAAATTAATATTGACAGAGGTAAAGAGCACATCTGAAACAGCTACATGTCAGAAGGCATCTGCTGAGGTTATTTCCTTATAAGCCACAATCACCTGAAAGCCATGAGAAAAGCAGAACTAGGAAGCACATAAGATTTTTTTTAACCGATAATGCTATACAAATGCAAATAATCAACTAATTTTCTTTCTCTAAACCTTATTGTCCCTTCTATTTAAAATCAAAGTTATTGTATTCTATGAATATCTGAAACTAAAACATGACTGTCTATGAAAATAATTTTGTCCAAAAACTTTTGGATGCCCTTCATTGTGATAAATAACATAAACTCCTGTTAATTGTTCAGAGTTGCTCTTTGGCCTTCTTTTGTGTTGTATTTCTTTCAAATTTTAGAGGAAATAATGCGATGCAAATATCTACACCTTACAAAAGCAGACCAAAATGTACAGACTGTCCCAGCCACTGTGACAGAGGGCTTTGCAGTATGTGCATATATTCTCCTCCTTACAACAAACATTGCGTTACCTCAGATAATAATGTTGTTCCTTTGTAGCATTTTATTTTGGCATGGTTACTTCTTGCTAATCTGGATGAAAGATCCTAGAACTGCCCCTTTCATTCCCCCCCAGAAGTAACAGTGGTTAAATATTCCACCAGAACAGGCACAGTCTTGAGCAAGAGGGTTGGACCAGATGACCTCCAAGAGGCCCCTTCCAACCTCAACTGTCCTGTGACAATGGGTCAATTGTGTTGCTGTTGAACAATAGGTGCATTATCGCACCGTCAATCTTCTGCTGCCCTCTTCTGGAAAGCTCAAGACAAAATGTCTTGATGTACATCTATAGCTAAGGGCACAAACAGATTGTCATGCTCCACACATCTGCATGTACATGAAGATCTGCACAGGCCCCTAGGTTCTGCAGCCTTCCATGTAGAGCAAGTCAAAGTGTACAAATAGATGGGAACTCTAAGATATCACCTTTCTGCTTGCATTCCCTTTTCTACAATATTCAAGCAATTTTAACAGCAGAGCAAAAGTACAAAGACTATATAGACACGAAAATTCCAAATTTTCAGAAAATGCAGAAGTATCAGACTGGGACTTGGTTTCCAATTAATATTTCACGGTTTTGTTTCTATCTCTTGTATTTTACCCAGTCCTTGCAAGTATCAAGGCTTCTTTGGAAACTGCAGAAATCTGAAAATCTTGTTTCGCTCTAACCATTCATTGGTGAAGGAGAAGTGTCCTGCTACCTGTAGCTGCAGCACTCAAATCATATAATGTCCTGATGGATGTCATTATAGCTGCTGTGAGACTTACTTATTAGGAAAGAGTAGAACTCACTGTGAAGTGTATTCACACTCCGTGCATCAACTCAGATTGACTTATAGGTAACATTTTTTTCTGAAATCTCACCATTACTTCAGTTCTAAATAAGTCTAGTACCTCAAAATAACTTCTGATGTTATTTTAGACTTTGTAGAAATCATGCTTAAGCTACTAATGTGTTACTTCGTGGTTTTCCTTGCAGTGGATCTTCCACTGATTTATTTCTTTTTAATGGGAATTTTGCAAAACATGTTAATTGCCACTTAATTTTATTCTGTTACCTTTTCTTTGATTGTCAATGGAATGTATTCCTGCTAAATAAATACACAATTTACCACCGGTTCACAAACAGAGCTTTTCCTTGAAGTTATTTATACTTCAATGTTTTCATTTGGAAAATTCCTTATGGATATTTCAAGGCTCTTTAATACTTCATGTGAGTGGGGATAAGACAGGAAAAGAAAGACAGAGCAAGAAGTGATGCATTTTTTTGTACAGCCAAAATAAGAGGCACATGTTGAATCTGCCAACTTTTACTCTGTGGCCTAAACACAAAGCTTCTGATACATCTGTGTATGCAGGTGATCGATGACATTTTTTTTCATATGGCACCAACAGTCAAGAAATATGAAGCTCTTTAAAAGCATTCATACAAAGAAAGAAAGATATATATCCCTTCCCATCCTCTCTATGAGTAAATCAGTCCCACACTCGTTTGGAATTCATATTGCAGCAAATAGAAAAAACTGCTGCTACAAAAGGAAAACCCAAGAAAGCAGTAGATCCAAGTCCCCAAAAATCCACATCAAAATATCTCATTTTCTCCAGAACTTCCCAAGAACCACTTTAGTGCTGATTCCTAACAGTGCACACCTTTAGGATGTCTTCAAGAGGACCAAGTCCAGCTGAAGGCTTTAGATGTGCCTTCTCCCACCTCTATTTGCAGGCAGGCCACCAGCTCCCACCTAGCGGGTAATTTAGCTGGATCTGCTGCACATGCTCGCAGTGCCACGTTAGTTGGTGCTTTGCTTCTAATTATGCATTTCTTTGAGTAAAGTTTGTCATTTCATATCTGTCCAGGCCTTTTCCAATGCAGGGCATGACTCTGTATCTGTATTGACCCAGAACTGAGGACGTGGATTTGTTACCTGTCAGTGGCGCTGCTTACTTGGAGAAACTTTCTGACCCATTTAGTGAGGGGCATGATCACAAGCATGCCTCTTTAGATGCTGACAATATTATTACATTGACAAAACAGTATTTCAGAATCATCTTACAACTTTTTTTTTTTTTAACATGTTATAGCTTTTATCTGATCTTTATATTTCTAACTTTAATAAAAAGGTAGATACAGAGGAAATAGAAGCTCTTTGCTTGCAGTTTATAAACTCTGATAGGTGTTAAAAATGCGCAAATGTCTGGAACAGCATCTTCTCACTGAACAGAGAAGCTCCTCCTTCCTGCTAACCTTCCTCCTGACACTTCTCCCAAGTGATACATCCTGGTGCCATGCAGGATGCACTAGGGTGTCCCACCAGACCTCCAGTTGCTCCTCAAGATGGGTGCTGGTCTCCCATCGGTCTTGAGTCAGGAGTACCAGCCCTGAGCAGGACTGATCCCACTTACCACCTTCCCTTCCTGTTTTAGACCAGTAAAAATCATTTTCTCCATAGGTCTGCAATTCTAGTTAAAAACACAAGAGGGTGAACCATACCCAGACATTCAGCTGCATCTGGTTTTCATTTTGCTACCTGCATAAAGGGCTCCTCCTTTGACTAGAAATTAAAGTCCTGGGCCTACCCTGGCCAGATTTTAACACTTGCTTGGACAGAATTTCTTAGCTAATACCGGATGAATAAATAATCACTACATATAGAAACAGATTGGTAGTGGTTTTCTCCCCTCCATTGTTTCATCCTGTCTCTGTTGGCCAAATTGCTATCATATTAAAGCAATTTATACCACCAAATTAAGGCAATTTATGGTTTCCAGGATATCAATGACTAATTCTGATAGCCTTGATTTTCTGCCTGCCTGAAGCTCAGTTTCAACATCATGACTGTGTGCCACTATTCAAGGCTTCTACAACTACAGCGATATTTGTAGAAAGTGTAATTCAAACCAAAGCTGGGTGAAAATTTCCTGAGAAACCTATGTTTTCCTCAAAAAATACTCTATAAAACCCCAGTTGTCTTACAGGAGGATACATAATTTTGGCAAAACTCTCAGGTGTTTCCAAGATTTAATTTCTGCTTACAACCAAGGAGATGGGTGTTAAAACTCCTTCCACGCACACACTTTCTCTTTCCTCCCTCTCCCTCTGGGCCAATGAATATTTGAAGAGGAATTATTTTATTATTAGAGACTTCTGAGAGAGCTCCCTCTCCAAAGAGCCAGCTTTTGTGCTCTGGATATCCAGCTATGGTATTTGAGCATGGCAGCAGCAGGAGCTGGAAGAGATCACCTGCATTATGACGGGCCACCCTGGAGCATCATGCAGCCTGCTGGGCTACTGCAGGGTATCCAGGCGCTAACCTTCTTCCTTTTGTAGGAGATCTCAAAAGATTCTGCTTCCCTATTGATGTGGAATAGAAGAAATAGCAGGTGAGATTAAATGCTACCTGGGTGATCCTGTTTCTCAATACAGACTTCAAAGAGAGCTTGGGTTACTCCACTTAGTTGTTCATGTCCCTAGAAAGGCTGAGATGCTTCTGAATATGAGTTTCCCCTATACAGGTGAGGTAAAAGCAATATGACATTCACTGAGATCGAGCATGCCAAATAACATTTTTCTCCATTCTCTGACTGTATTTTCACACACTTATTTTTTATACTGGTGCCCTGAGAGCTACTTCCTTTGTGGTACTAACATATGCCTTTTTATATGTGCTGAAGTTACATCTACAGAGTTGTGCTACTTTTTAGGTGTAGTTCAGGCAAGAAGCTAGTAACACTGAGAATTTCCTAGAATTTCTATTCTGGTTCCAGATATACTCACAAGAAACACATATGCTGAGAGATGACAAGAGCAACTACTATGATACAACTCTAAGTCTTATCTGTGGAGAATGATGTAAGAGTTCTTAAGCAGTTAACTTACATGACAAGGACTTTAAACACAGACTTTTGAACAAAATGTTATAAAGTAACTTTTAACAGTCTTACAGCTTGTGAAGAAAGAACATCTTTTATATTTAAAATACACCAACTTCAGTAGTCATGTTATTTAATTTGGCTGTCTGAGAATCAGACTCTGGGCTAAGCAAAATGGAAGGTCTTTCACTTTCAGAATCACAAAGTCTTGCTGAAAGTCATGGGCCTAAATTTTCCCTGTTTTTCTCCATCTATCGGCATGAAACAGAGAATGACTCTTCCATAAATCTTGCCTCACTCATGTCCTTAACATGCCACACCTACAATAACAACAGATTAAGCAGGTAAAACTAAGACTTTATACTAAATGGAAAGCAAGGGTTGGAAACCTTGACATGCCATTAGAAGTTTGTGACAATTACAAATTGTCAGTATATCCAATTAATGCCCAAGAAACAAAACTGTCGCAAGATGCTTGAGCCAGACCAAGCAGCAAAGGGCCATCAGAGCAGGGACAGGATGAGGATGTTCCCCACCCCTGGGCTGCTTCTGGTTCTTGTAGGCCAGGCTGCCAAAAATTGGATTCCTCCAAGTGTAACGGCCACAGCTACACTTAGCAAAACAGGAGACGGACTTTCTCATTAAGAAGCTACTTGACAGCTACTGTCTCTGCTCCAGGCTGCAAGCAAGACATTTAACCTCCGTGCTTCAGTCTCACCAACTGCAACGCAGAGATAAACTGACATAGTCAGGGCAAGGGAGATTAATTAGAGAACACTGAGAAAGAGCCTATGAAACACTAAGACCTGTTAATTATAATATCACATTTCCTAGCCACACCTCCAGTATAATTATATCTCAGTTTAACCACAAGTCAAGGGGACACAGGGCACCAGGAGATACAAGTGAGGAAATTGCACTCCCTCCCGCCCTGACCCACCAGTGATGTCTGAAGGTTCATGGGCTGGTCACTGGGCTCGGTTGTCTGGTCTTGGGTCTGTGCAAAGCAGCCATGGGGCTGTTCCCTGGGACTCACAAAGATATTCTGACACCCACATC